TGTTGGGTCTTGTGTTCCTGGTTTTGGTCCTGGTCTTAGTCCTAGTCTTGGTCCTGGTCCTGGTCCTGGTCCTTTCTCTGGTCCTGGTGATAGTCCTGGTCCTGGTTCTGACACTGGTCCTGGTCCCGGTCTTGTTTCTAGTCCTGGCTCTGGTTCTAGTCCTACTCCTGGCCCTGGCCCTGGTTCTGGTTCTGGTTCTGGTTCTGGTCCTGGTCCTGGTCCTTTCTCTGGTCCTGGTCCTTTGTCCCATCTGTCGGGTCCAGGATCCCAAGCCAGATCCAAAACGAGTCGAAAATCACGGAAAAGCTGTCTCAAAATGTCTCATTTTCCCCAAAAAGTTGAACTTCCACAGACAGAAAGGAGCCACAGGCCACAACTAACAAAAACCTATGTGCAGACAACACTGGATTCACAATCAGTATCGTTTTTACATTTTTTCTAGGTTAAAATTAACTTTAAAAATAGGGTTTCAGGTGAAATTAAGACAGATTTTAGTTGGGTTGATGGCTGTTTTGTTATGTTATGTTCAGACTCTCTGTGAGGGTAAAAAAAAAAAGAGTCAATAGTGAATGAAAGAAAACATACTCCCCTCTCGGTACTGGCCAGTAGCAGTGCAGATGAATGGGATCCGGTAATAGCATAACGCCTGTCTCTCTGGCTCAAACACAGATTAGGGAGGATCGATCCCGAGGTTCCAGCTGTTATTGACCGATTAGCAGCTTTCTCACACAACACTCGCCCCTCTGTGCTGGACGCTGACTCCGGAAGTCAGTAATAACCCTGCCGGACACAGTGAACTGTGTACTGTCCCTTTTGGTCTTTTCAGTTTGCAACTGAGCATCTCCTATCCTAACCCTAACCCGTACCTCTATCCCCCCCACAGCTCCTTCTGTAGTCCCTCTACCTCTATCTCTATCTCACCACTGACTGATCAGTGTTTCTCCTCTATATAGCTTATTGTCATAGTGATGATAAATGTAATATTGTGTCTACTTTGTAAGTTGCTTTGGATAAAAGCGTCTGCTAAACGCATAAACATAAACATAAACTGGCTCCGCCTAAACCAAAACCAACAACGTTTCAAAGTGCTGGAGTTCTCCGTTTAATCCCTAGCTTTTCCAAACCCCTTTGAAAACAGATAAACATCCACCTGAAACTCACTTTTATACGGATTAAAAAGAATGTTCCTCCTCAGAAATAAAAGGGGGCCAAAGTTTGGGGAAAAATAATTCAAATCCAATGTCCTCAAGGCTCAGTACTGGGACCTCTTCTCTTTGCCATATACACCAATTACATGGTTTCTCATACACCTGTTATGCTGACGACACCCAGCTTTATCTGCCATTTCCACCTGATGAACATCTCAGACTGTTTCTCTGACGTATCAGAATGGATGAAAGCCCATCCCCTCCAACCGAATCTCTCTAAAACTGAACTGCTTGTTTTTCCAGCCAAACAAACCACACACCACAATGTTCCCATCCAGACGGGATCCCCGCCTCTGACTTCATCAATGGTTTCACGATTGATGACCAGCTGACCTTTAAGGGTCATGTGACCTCCGTCTCTCCATTTTGGATCTTCACACTACTAAATATAAGAAAGATCCGGCCATCCCTAACCCAACATGCTCCCCAGCTCCTGGTCAGTCTGTGATCCAAATGATCTGGTCTTCAATCAGCCCCAAAAGTCTCACGTCCCCCCATCTGTTCACTGAGCTTCACTGGTTATCCCCGGTTACCCCTGGTTACCACTGGTTACCCCCGGTTACCCATGGCTGCCCGCATCAAATCCAGGTCCCTGATGCCTACAAAGTCCTTAAGGGTCCGGCTGCTGTCTCCACTGACTCTGACTGGGGATTTTCCTCTAGAGAACTTATTGTCATATTGATGATAACTGTAACTTGTGTCTACTTTGTAAGTCGCTTTGGATAAAAGCGTCTAAATGAATAAACATAAACATGTCCTGGGGCCTTTAGCCATTTGATGGACTTTTACATGAACAGTCTTTGTTGTGGACAGTCTTTGATTTTGATGCTTTGTTTACTGAAACATGGGTTTATCTCCCTTTGAAACGGCTGTCCTCCACCCGGGGTTTGAGTAGTCTGATGAAATTCTGACTGGGGAGTTTCCTCCAGAGAACTCATTGTCAGATTATAAATATCTGTAACTTGTGTCTACTTTGTAAGTAGCTTTGGACAAAAATATCTGCTAAATTCATAAACAGAAACATAAACATAAAGTGTTTGTTTGCTGTCAGCTCACGTTTTCCGAGTATTCAAACGATGAGGTAGTTTGACTAGCTTAAGCTAACCGTGCTAACAGGGTGCCGCTGACCTTAATGGCCTCCTGGCGCTTCGGCTCGTGCTTCGCGTTGTTGTGGCAGTTGGAGCAGTTGCAGCTGCTGCACATCACTCCGTTGGCAAAACACTCACAGTACCTGAAAGAGACAAATGGGTTTCATGCTACGCTAACGTTTGCGGGTATGCCCCGGGCTCTCTCCGGGCTCTATGTGATTCGGTAGTTTCTGAGGATAAATATGTAGCTCCCAACCAGAGTTAAGAAGTCAAACTAAATCATATCTGCTATGGTCTGCAAAGATAACTGAAGAGTAAAGTTTCTCAACAGCAAGCGTGTTTAAATGCTAATTCTGGAATAGTAAATAAAGATAATATTTGTAGACTTAGATTTAGACTTGTACTTTATTGATCCTTTTGGAAGATTCCTTTAGGAAATTAAAGTTGTAATAGTAATATTGTAATAGTAATATATCTATATAGTAATAATAGTAATATTGTAATAGTAATATATATATAGCAAAAATAGTAATATTGTAATAGTTCACCTTAACTGGCATAATGGAGTCCTTAAAGCAGCATTCTGCTCTCTAACAAGCAGAGAGCCCAACAAACGCCAATGAAGTTTAAAAAAAGAACAAATCCTTTCTATTCAACTCAACTCTTAATGCAATGCCTGTAACAATATAAGTGATTTTAGACAATTACACCACTAACAAGTCTACAAAAGTAGAAAGTGCACTCATCAAATTTTAAAAGCAACTTTAGGAGGAACCTTTCATTTCTGTCTGAAAGGGACAAAGAAAATGATCCCACCAAAAGGTTCTTCGGGTGTTATGTAATTCTTAACATAAACAGGTTTTCGAAACACCCATAGCCAGCTATGCGCATTAGGCTTGTCCTGATCCGATATCTAGATCCAATCGGCCGTCCTTATTTGCAAAAAACTGCGTATCGGCCAGCAGGAGAAAATGCAGATCCAGACTCCAGATCCATTTTTTTTTTTTTAAGTCCGATCCCACATGATGCATTAGCATCTCTAACCCACAGGTCTGTGTCCTAACCATTAAGTTGTAATCGGAGTAAATCCCTGTTCAACATGAGTCTGACAACTAAGTAAGTAGATAAATAACGTTAAACTTTAACACATGCTCTGATAGGCCGGGA